CTAAACCCTCCAAATTAATTTTAGAAATTTCATTATTGAAACTATCGTCTAAAAGTCTGTTGTAGTCCGTAGTAACTGTAGATATATTAATATTTAACAGGTGGGCATGGAAGCTATCATTGAAATAATGATCATAGCTTTCAATTGGATCAGCAAGTGTTTCAGTTTGATATCTGAGGTCGTAATACGGAGTCTCGCTTTGAAGGAATTGGTCCATTAAATTATTCGCCATGAAGTTTGATTGGGAGGCGGTTGCCCAATTAAACTCCAACCCTTCAGAAACTTGAGCAACTCGAAGAGACGAGATTGGATTATATGTACTAGGTTGTGTTGATACAAAAATTTCCAGATCGTCCTCATTATCATCGGAAAGTGAAATAATCTCGGAAGTTTGTGACGGTAAAAAGATTACAGAGTCCAATGTCATCTGAGAATTGTAATTTTCAGTCATCATCATTTCCGAAACCAGAGGCTTCGAGTTTAAAGATAAGTAAATTATGGTTAACCTTATCAAATGCTTTGCTTAAATCAGTGTATATAACATGACAGGTAAACTCTAACAAGTTGGTGACTGTAGATCTCCATTTTCGAAAGCCGTGCTGGTGCGGAGAAATATACGAATTAATGGCAAAGGCCAAATGCTGAGTCACAATTCGCTCGAACAACTTAGGCAAGACATCCAACTTGGCTATGCCTCTGTAGTTTTCAACAAATTGTCTACTTCCACTCTTGTGGATTGGAATAAGGAAACTACTCTTCCAACACGAAGGGAAAACACCTAAATTCAAGGACAGGTTAAAAGTCTTTGAGATCACACCACATAACTCGACAGCCCAAGATTTAAGTACACATGATGAAATTCCATCAGGTCCAGGCGCACAACTATATTTTAGAGAGCTCAACCCTTTAAAAACGTCATCTTCAGAAATGACCAGGTTAGGCATTGAAACAGACTTAGTTATGAGATATGAGTAGTTTGCTGATAAATCGGAATTAGCAGTCGCAAAGTTTCGTCGGCAATACTCAGCAAACAGATTTGAGATTTCGAAATCATCCGAGGAATCAGACCCATTAAAAGAAACACGAGAGGGATATGTGGAAATTTTTCTTTTAGTGTTAACAAATTTAAAAAAGAATTTAGGATTAGCCAACAGAGAGGATTTAATGAACTGAAGGTATCTGTAGTAATAATGGTGGCTGAGGGAGTAAAATCTATGCCTCGCCACCGAGTAAGCGAAATAGTCGACCGCAGAGCCACTTTTCGAATATTTTTTGAATAGCGAGTTTTTTCTATTCTTGCAATATTTAATTGTCTTGTTAAACCACGGGGGACACCTGCTTCGAGTTCGGCACTGCTTGAACGGAACAGATGCAGCAATAGCTAGATTTAATGTATTGTAGAACGATGACATTAAGCTTTCAAAAGTTCCGTTTGAGAAGTCAATCCTCTTATGTGAAAGACGATGTTTTAGCAATACAATATTGATTTTATGAAAATCATAATGTTTATTTAAAAAAGTTTGATTTGGCACATTAAGGCAGTTGAACGAACCATGATTCATATGATGAAAGGAAATGCACATTGATGGATGATATGGATCCTCAGGTAAACTCAACGGTGGACAACGATTTACGTTAATCTTGGGAAAATTGGCAAAGCAGAGATCGAGCAGTATACCATTACAATTAGGGGTACGATTGTATTGAACCAAATTATGATCAAACAATTCATTAAAGAACACAACAGCCCTATCAGACGTTGAAGTAGAAATCAAACAGCTAGAATTATGACTGTTACACCAAGTGACTTCAGGCAAGTTGAAGTCACTCAATGCAACGACCAAATCGGTGGGTCTAGACCGCTTGGCCACTTCACAAATGAGGGCAGCGTGTTTTTTGTAAATGGAGATATCATAATTTGGGGGAATATAGGAGCAGGTTATAAATAGATGTTTATTAGGCATTTTCGCACAAATGGCGATAAATTCAACGACAGAAGAAGTGGGAAATTCAATCAAATTGGAAGGGACTGACGCAGATATGGCAATTAATACACCACCACCGATGCGATTCACTCGATCATTTCTAAAGACTTGGAAAGAATTATGAAAAAGTTCTGACGGATGAAGTTCGGGTTGTAGCCAAGTTTCAGTGAAGACCAAACAGAAAAACTCCGTGCTCACTGAATTTAGAAAACTAGAACGAATTTTTGAATTTAGGTCCCTAACATTTTGATAAGTGAGAGTTAATGGGCCTGAAGAAACATTTAGTTTTTTGAAGGCGACAAGACTATTGCTTTGGTATTACGGGGACGATCTCGAGGGATAAATTCTTTAATTAAGGATCCTACTGGCCACATTGGTTTGTTTAACAACATATCACTGTTTTCAGTCGGGACTAGTATTTTAAAAGAGGAGATTGCCCTAGATTGAGAAGGAGCCATTTTGAAGATGCTGACGCGCTTTAAGTTGACTGATGGGACTTTCGCCGCCAGATAACTTTTTATGTTATCCACCGATGTTTCAGGTGCCAGACTTGACACAAATATTGCTTTTCTGGGAGGAACTGCTGTCAAGCAAATGTCATTAGTTGGAACAGGAGAGTTCACGGTTGGGGAGTTTACATTTGGGGAGAATATAGATGGGGTTATCGCCCTAGTACCGGCAGCTTGTGAGACTTGCCCAGTCTAGTGACCAGCGTTCACATGCGAACAGCCAGGGAGAAAGGATGATTTATTTTTCTCTTCATTATTTTTAGGCGATGGCGCTTGATTGGAGTGGCGGCTCTGGGCGGAGATACCCTTGCCACTTCAGCGTAGCTTAAAACCGAAGGACTTGCCGGCTTGTTTGTAACTGTTTTGTCACCAACCGACTCAGCAATATCGGAAACATTAATGTTCATTTTAGAGTTAGAGGGAGCGGTAAGTTGTACCAACGAATCAGATTTGGAGGAACTCAGACGTGACGTCCCACACGCTACGCTACGAGTTGTTATTTTTCTGGCTTGGGTAGAAGATGAGTGCTCAATAAAACGACACTCATCAAACCTAGATTTAATTAGCTCAAACTTTTTCCACAAGGAGCCGAGATTTCTACTCAATTCCGAAAAACCATTTTGCGTCGCCGTGAAAAGTTTATAAAAATGAATGTCCCGCTGCCTACAGTCAGGACATGACCAAAGCGCTCGCAGAGACAACAAGAAACGAATCTATCAGATTCCGGCCCCGTTTTCGCCCGACAAGGTGTATATAAACACTCCATGTCCAGTGAAAAAGAAAGTTGCGGAGTATGAAGAACAAACAGACAAATTGCAAAAAACAAAAAAAAAACCTCACATAAAAATTTATCCATTTGTGCAAAACTTCTCTGTTACGTTGACACTGTAACAAAAGATAAAATGCAAAACAAACTGCTAACACTGAAAAAATAAACAGAGAAAAAGAGAGAAAACAAAAAAAAAGAGAGATTTAAAGCTAAAAATTTTTGTTTGCAAAAAAACCAGTGAATCAAAGCGTAAAGAAAAAATACTTCTTTCACTTTGAATTCAATCATTTTCTTCTCAAAGTATATTATAAATTCACACACTATAAGGCAAAATAGCCACGAAATTCAACAAAAAATTAATTATTAATTGCCGAAAACAAAATATAGATGACTATACCGCGCGACAGAGTTGCTATAACACGTAAATTTCTTGAAATCACATTTCATCTGCGAGTTAAAAAAAATGTAGAGTATATAGTACCTTTAGTGGATGGCGAAAATAATGCATACTATGCACAAATACGCGGACTGCTCGTAGACAGCTTTTCTAAAAAGTCGACATTCTTAACCCCGCTAATACCTACGCAAGAAAGTCCCGATCCCAGGGATGGCTTTGACGCTGCCACTTAATTGGTAGACAATTTCAGAATTGTCTGTTTCAGGTTAATAAATAATAACATACTTGCGTATGTGTATATTTCTGTTTTAGGTTCCGACGAGGAATTGTCACGCAAATTATCCTGCCTAGAATTTGTGATGCATGCGCCTATTAAATAAACAAAAACAATAAACTACTATTTGGATCGCACTACACTCTTCCCTTTGATATGGAATTTGATTCAAAGCCAGGCGGCTGTATACGGACAGCATTGCTTGAAGTGCATTGAAACAAATCGACAGAAATTTATTAGAAAAGTGCTTTAATAAACTAAATTCATGAATCCTACAAACAACGGCATGGAGAGCGTATGAAATTCAATTTTATCTTATTGCCACAATTAGAGCGGCGGCTTTGCCGAATGTTTAATAAGCTTGGAATGTAATACAAAGATTTTGAAAAACAATTTCTTATTTCGAATTTTTTTAATCTTTAATTTTTTTTTTTATTCTAGAGTACATTTAATAATGCTTTCAAAAAATTCAAAATTCATTTACAAACATTCAAGTTTTCGTAACGTCCACATATAAGGGGTCCGAATATGTTAAGTTACGCAAACGAGCGTCATTAGGCGGACGAGGAGAACCATCCTTTTCCTAACGAGTGGGTTTAGACAGATAATTTTTTTCGAATTTTAAGAAGAAACGGGGCAGAAAAAATAAAATTATCTTTCTTTATTTACCATCCGTAATTAAAATTTACCCCGTTTCTATTTCTCCAGAAATGTGTACGCCAACTATTTTCTAAAATTTGAATTAAGGCCTGGGAGCTTATTTGATCATCTAGAAGGACGGCCGAAGACTTAATTTTCAAATGTAAACATATGATAACACCAAAAAGCAGTTCGTTTCTTTTCATTTTTCTTCTGTTTAAAACGCTTATTTTTACCCGCATATTCTTTAAAAAGCAAAGTTGATTTTTTAAAAAGGTCCAAGCCTACATTTAGGCCAAATTTTAGAGTTCAGACTTAAGTCCGAATTAATAATAAATTATAAATAACTTTAGTGATCTTTTTTCTTCTCTTTCTATATATATATATTTTATAATTATTTCTTTTTTTCGGTTTTTTATAATTATAGTGTACACGATCAGAATTACGCCGCAATTCACAAACACTAGAACACCCTGCAAAATCAGTGAAAACTCTCTATGAGCTTTAATAACATGTAGTGTTTTATGAGTATAGTTATATTTATATGTACTTGGCGACTCTTCATCACAAAAATATACTTACAGCTGGTTACCTTTAGAATTACATCCGATTTAATGTGCGATTTGTGCTATTTAAAAATTTAAAATGAATCTAACAATTGAAAGATCTAGGCTTATTGCCTACTCAGGTTTAGTAAAACATATCGTGAAACGTGGAACCAGTAAAATTGCTGTAGAAGTAGAACCTGACATCTTGAATAAATTAGAGAATGAACAGCTGAAACCGAGGAAACATCCCGGGGTTATAAAATTGAGTCGCATAGAACTACCTATAAATATAGCAAAAGCCTTGCAAAAGGCGGTTGGCGATTATCCAGTTAAGGCTTTACTAGAAGATGCTAAGAAATTGAATCGATTCCTAAGCAAAAGACACCCTCCACCAGAACCGGATGAAATCAATACTAAAATGAGTAGAATCATAGAAGAAATTAATGCTGTAATGCCAATTGAAAAGACATCACAGTTAAATGAGGTGGAGAAGCGAAAATGGCAACAACGACGCGACAATCTGGTCAGAAAAAGATTTTCGGAGCGTACATATGCTTGGAAACCTATTGTATATGGACCATATGAAGCTATAGTGTATGCTCTCGGTCGTGGAGCTAAAGAATTTGCTGCTTTAAAGCGTATTTTGCAAGAAATTGTAAACAGAGATCCTGACTTCAAACCAAATAGTTATCTTGACTTTGGTTCAGGCGTAGGCACTGGTATGTGGGCTGTCAGCACTTTATGGGAAAACACATTATACGAATACTTCAACGTAGACAGTTCTCGGGAGATGAATGATCTGTCAGAGCTAATATTACGTAATGGTAACGAAAATCATGAGATACCTTTACGCAACGTATTCTACCGGCAATTTTTGCCAGCATTGGAGGTTGGTTTCACATTATTCATCGTGAAAACCATAAATTTACAACAAATTGTTTCAAATTTATAACAGACAAAATATGATTTAGTGGTGTGTTCTTACTCCCTCTTTGAATTGCCAAGCACGAAGCATCGTCAAGACGTTTTATTAAATTTATGGGCGAAATGTGATGGATATCTGATCGTAGTAGAAGAGGGTACAAGACGAGGTTCCCAACTAGTCAACGCTGCCAGAGATCTGATACTCTCTTTAGACAATCCTAAGGCGGCTGGCCATGTTTTTGCACCTGTAATTTGCAAACAACATATTAAGTCCAATGTAGTTATTAGCCACTTTTTTTATTTAAGTGCCCTCATGATAAAATTTGTCCTCGCTTCTCGAATTTAAATGATCGGACGCCGTGCAATTTTGAAACGCTTTATGAGGAGCCGCAACACTGTAAAATTTCTCAGGCGTACGGTGTTGCTTGCTACAGCTATATTATTTTGAAAAAAGGCCTGCCACAGGAGGCTAATTCATGGCCCAGGTAAGGTGAAGCAATTACTATACAAATATAATTTTAGCTTCTTTTCTGAGTAATGTTCTAATATTACGAAGAAAAAACATGCATTATTGAATTAATTAATAATAAAATAAATAATACTATTATGTGAGCATAAAGTTAATGAAGTAGTAGAGTGTGGGAGAAATCGAAGTGCCCTTTCTGTTAAAGTGACAAATCCAAATGCCATTTCTGTTAAGGTGAGAAATCAAAGGGGAAAAATTAAGTGTTTTCGAATACTTAAGTGCTACCTCTACTCAATGGAGCCGCATATCTTGGGCTGAAATATCTTGTTACGTACGTTGTAACCGAAATGACTTAATAAAGTCCGTTCCCTTCTTTATTCCTTTTTTCTCTGCCTTCTAGTTTCAATTAATAATGCACAATATATGTTTCTTATGTACATAATATATTTTTTTTATTTTTTATTGTATTTTTTGTTTCTAATGTTTTTTCTTCATCTCTTTTGCTGTATCACCTGTATAAACAGAATTGTAAGGCCAACATTAGTGCGTTCCAGACATGCCATTTGCAGAATGTGCACATCAGAGGGCAAATTACAGGAAGTTATTTTCACAAAATCTAAACATGGCAGGTAAGTCTCTCTATAGATTGAAATCACTTCTCAGTTCCTAATAATCACTTTATCGTCAGATTTGCTTATAGATGTGCGAAAGCAAGCCGTTGGGGTGATCGTTTGCCAATAATAATTGGAGAACCTTTTTCTACAAAAGAGATGTCTCCATATTCTACTGAAAGCAAAGAAAATACTCTCAGTAATTCGTTAGACAATCGTTCAACGTCAATTTAGTTTTTTACATTCTTTTAAGAGAAAAAGTTTCAACTGGCCCAGGTTTTCAGTTTGGTAATTGATTTCATCCGAAAAATAATATAATAAAATAATTCAACTTTTCAATACATGCTTATTCTTATTTATTACAATGTAAGAATAAAATTGCATCTATTAAACTCCCGACTAACATAAAACGTTTTTGATGAGCTCGTATTTGTTCATCAAGAGATTTTTTAAAATTCATATTTACAGTGCAGGGAACGCATTGATATATAGCGGCCAAATGCTTTAGAGCACCATACGTGTTACCCGTTTTCTGCCACCACACAAAAGGTGATTCGTCCAGATTGACATAGACTTCGGTTCGATAGCGTTTTAGGTCAGCTTCGACATTGCTTTGCTCATTTGCCAGCTGCTCCGGAGGTGTTTCAGTCAAATCAAAAAATAACTCTAAATCTGAAAGCAATACGTTTAGACAATTAAACAGATCGTGGGTCATCGATTTCTTTGGCATTACTTGATTTCTTCACATTTGTGTTTAAAGGCGTCTTTGGTCGAACTTCTCCAACTTGTATCGAACTATCAAAACCTTGGCTTTCACTAATTGTATTAAATTTCTCAGTTAGGATTTGCAAGCATTTGTTAAAATTGTTAACAGTTATTAAACGATGAAATCTTGGATCCAATAAAGCCGAAATCGTTAAATGGTCATCAGATAAAATACTGAAAAACTGAAAATTTGAAAACCATATTTAGAAACTTAGAACTTTTGCTTACAAATATTGAAGCTTGCTTTTGATAGCAGATTTAATAGAAGCCACAAATTGATCATCATTTTCTGTTACAGTCAACTTTTTATTCAACACTTTACATGTAATGGGTGATAACATGCTGTTTAACGGTACCTCTTCTCCTTTTAATGTATCCAATGTTACCTAAAAGTATATATAACTGAAAAGCAACGTTTTTCTACTATTCCAGCATAACATACAGCAAGTGTGCTCAAAGTGTCCACTATAGCCTTTGAAGAAGCCACTAAACCTTCTGCTTCTTCCGGCCATGAAACGGTTTCCGTAAAAAATTTCAATAATTCATAATAAGTCCAGGGGAAATTTTCGTTTGCTTGCGGTATATTAACATCCTAAAATGAAAACTTATAAATTGGTTATCTTAAATAATATTTCTGTGGTCCTAATTTCGTCTCAGTGATTGTAAATGATAGACTAAACGTAATCAAAATTGTGGATATTGTGGCGGAATTTTCATGTAATCCGTGCTCCTATGTTCGTAAATCAAATACCACAAAGTTTCATTATTTTAAGGTTTTAAATGTAAACATTTTACAGTATTACCGACTGCACTTTGCAAAAAGTTAACGAATGTTGGTTTCGTACTTTTTGTTTTTTTTTTTGGATATAGGTCCTTCTCATATTTCATTTGTGGACATTAACTCTTAGCCCAACTTCTATTTTATGAGGAGATGCAGAGCGAACGTGTCTACAAATCGACTGAAGTTCATTAAAAGACTAAGTTACAGTTGTCTGAGGAAAACTTATCGTATATGATTTTGAAAATTATTGAATACCTTTGTACTGAGATCCATAAAGTAACGCATGATGACGTTTTTGACTCCCTCTATCAGTGACGCAACAGCTGGCAGGTCGTAGACGCTTTTCAGGCAATAGTTTATGATAACGTCGTAAGACAAAATGATCGGAATGCCTGAAATGAAGTCGTAGTAATAATACATAGATGTAGGTAATGGCATCTAACTCACTTTTGCTGTTAAGAAAACGCCTTAAATAGTCATCATAATCATTAACAATAGCGGCCTTAACGCCTAAAACGACAATGGTAACAATAATACTTAAATAAAGGGAATGTCCTCCATCTTACTTTTGCTGTTACGAAAGTGCTTTAAATAATAATCATAATCATTAACAACAGCGGCGGTACAATTTTGTAAATTGAAATCCTCGAAGGCTTCTTCAAGCAAAGAGTATTTATTGTATTCCATAGTGCAATAAAGCTGGTTGATTAAATTATATTCAGGTGAATCATTGGTGTAGTTATAATAAATAGACAAAAACTGTATATCCTCTACATTTGTCCATATTTCGAACCCCAATGAGAATGGTTTAATTTGGGAATGCATTTTTAACTGATCAGCTATGGATGTTCGCTTATCGCTGTACATTTCTTTAATATATGATGTGATCTGTATATTAGAAAATTTATTAAGAGAAAGACCTACGAAATAATTTCTCATAGACTTACTTTTTCAGGAGGTGGAATTGTTAAATTTGGTGCGATTATTTGTGTAAACTTTGAAAATCCTGGCTCATAAAGTGTATCGATATTTCGCATATCATCTATTACTAAATTCACGATATGAAATTGAAACTGATAGGAATCTAACGTTTCACTACCATCTTCAACGGCAATAGTAACTTCATTGTCATTGTTTTCAAATTTTTTAATGGTGTGAAACTGAAAGGATGTAGCATTCTTTTCAAGTCCTGCTGTCACTCCAATTTTAGTGAATTGATTACTGTCAATGTCTTCATCATCTTCGTATGTTTCCGGCACTATTGACTCATAAAGGACTGATTGGTCATCGCAGCCTTCACCAGATAAACTGGTATTTTGGGAAGTTTCAAAATATTCCGTCTTCACCTTGCGTTCATTTGGTAGTCCACGTTTTACAATAACAATACCATGGGTACTTTTTTTAATCACTTTTCTTGGGGGAACTTTTATGCCATTTTCTGCAACAATTTTATTGAAGATTTCCTTATGACGGTATTGAAGATGGGCCCTTAAATTTGTGGTATTGCCGTGATTGGTTAAGACCTTGTGACAAAGAATGCATACGACATTCTGTTTCGTTATAATGCAGTCGTCTTCATTTGTGGGATAACCAAAATGGCGCCAGTAAACGCTTTTCATTTTTGGACTATGCAGTTTCGCAAACTTCAACGAATTTATGTGAGGGTTGCTCATGTTTCCCTGCAACGGATCTGACATGTTTGAAACAAAATCGATGTAAATATTTTGAATAGAATTGCACTCTTTATTGTTTGACTGTTAATATATCAATAAATTTCTAATGCGATATCGCGTCATCGACCATTTAGATTATCGATGTTGACAGAGTTACCAAACCGTTATTATCAATACATCAACAATTCTAACAAATAGCTGACCAAGTTAATTATTAAGTTTATTATGAGTCTTATGAGACTTACGCCAACTGAAGAAGCAGAAGTTTATAATTGGGGGCTGACACAATCAAACTTCGCTTCGCCTAAATTGTTTCCAAATTGTCGTTTTTCGTGGAACTTTGAAAACTTCAGTCGTTTTTTGTGGAAACTGAGTCCGCTTTCGTGGATTGCAATGCTTAGTTGAACATATCTGTAAAACAAAACAAAAAAAAACACATGGCTAATTTTGTTGTATGTGGGCTATCACAAAAATGCGTCGTTTTTGTTTTCGGGTTAAAAACTACAAAGTGATAAACATAGTAACGGGTACTCGCCCTACCATATTGAAAATAAACTTAAGCGCAACCTTATAAATTGAAAATTAACTTAGGCGCGACCAAATGGCTGTGTCACAAACATATCAAAATATGACAAGAAATCGATAACTAATTGCGCTTACGTACAAATTTCTCTATTAACTACTACTTTCTTATCGTTTCGACATTGTAGAGGGTAAATAATGTTAAAGTCAATGAAAAGATTCTACTAAATATAAGCGCTTCGGAAGGCTAAATACTGAGGAAACAAAAAAAGGATTTTCCAATAACCGACTTGCGAATAATGTGCTCCTCATTTTTCCTTTATTTTACGTTATTCATAGGTTGACATCATAAGTAGCCATATTTGTGAAACTTTCGCTTGATATTTTAGAAGATTCAATTAAATTATAGAATCAAATTATACAATAAGAGAGGGCATCTGCTCTCTGCATTACAGGGTTTGATAAAATTGGGTAAATATTTACTTCTCAGGGCTATCAGGACTTTCACTGCCAACTACATTGGCCGCTTTCGAAGACGAATTACCCATTACTTGCATAAGGGTGGAAGTTTGGTATCGTACTTTAATCCACTTTTTCCTGTTTTTGTTTTGTAAGGAAGTGCGCAATTCAGTCGTATAGTCGTATATCAAGAAAAAGAAAACAGATGAAATTGTCAATTGAATCCACTCAGATGTTGAGCTGCCACGCTCATAGCAGCCCCGTTGGGTCCGCGGAATACAATTGGGACATTGATCTGCCCCCCCGACATGTAGAATGTTTTAGCCGCTGAATTTATAACCTTGCATCAAATTGTTTAAAGATATAAAAATTCGTAAAGTATTTAGAGATCTCAATTACAACCGTGAATAATATATTTGATTTTTTTTCAGACGAAGGAACATATTGTGGAAAAGTATGGCGGTGAAGAACATTGAAGAACATTTGCAAGCACCACCTAAATCGCTAAATCGCTACTGTTGGCCCAAACCGAAGACTATATAGAATATTCGTGTAGCGGCAAAGGAATGGAAAAACCAAAAGCTCGTAGTATATAAGGATATTACCTTAGTAATGTATAAACTGGGATTATTTGGGAAAAATGAAAATCTCATATTAATCTATTGTTATTTTGAAAAATTGAAAAATTTGATGATAATTCTTTACATATATTCATACAAGTGCTTGAAATATAATATATAATCTCTTTTATATAAATGTATAAAAAATATGCATTTATCTCCCCTTGTACGTCTCCTCAATAGTTTTATACAATTTTTATAGGCGTGGCATTCGATTTTACCTTATTTTCAAAAATAAAAT